ACTACCCTCTTTCGCTGTTTCCCAGCCTCATTCCTACTTCATCTGTGTTGCAGTAATTTCAAAGCATTGAACTCTTCTCTCCACAGTACCCTGGGGCTTGTTCATGTCTAATATTACTGCTTCCAGTAATGCTATCAGTATACTGTAGTACTAATAGCGACTGGGTTTGATGAGTTTGTTCTATAAAAACATGATGTCTTTATTGAGCCCATCACTTTATCAGTGTCTGGTCAGAAGTTCTCAGCAAACTACAATGACCTTCAATTTCACCCTGGCCTTCAGCACTGATCAAAGGTATGACTTGTCCTACCATTTCAACTTTGCTGCATTTTAGTGTTTCGCATTCTGTAGCTTTATGTAGATATAACCATTCTGGCTTCCTGCCACTTATTGCAAGTCTAGGCAGAATGTGCCTACAATAATGGTACAATTAATGATAACAAATATCTTTAATCCAAATATGTTTGCTAGTGTCCAGTGTCAACAGCATAAACTAAGGAGTCTAATGCTAGATCACTCAGAAGTATCAATTTCAAATCCATCTTTTATCCTTAATGTCCAAAGGAACATGATGAAGAAAACAAGGTTAACCTGTATATTTTTGTTCTCCCACCAAACACTGATTTGAACCAATTGTTCAAAATCCCACCCGTTCTTAGGCAAATAATCAAAAAGTGCTCATGTAAATAATGTATATGAATAAGAAGTTTGCCCATTAAGCGACTAGCATAAATGCTTAAAAATGTAATAAAGTATAGCTTATATCTATATAGATATGAAATAGATACATGTATGTATACTCTTAAACAGCCACATACCTAGCTTGTATGAGGTTAGTGTAAATCCTGAACTGGGTTACTTGCTCTATCCATATATTCTCATAGCAATTCTCCTAGTGATCAGTATATGACATTTTTCTTCCTGTTCTACAGCAATATAACAACTATGCTATTAATAATAGGATTATAATATAATATGTGACATTAATATTATAATCATATTATTGTATTGTGACTGCAGCACTCAATAAAAAGCAATACATTTGGAAGGAGCATAAGAATCTGACAGTATCTTTACTAAGTGTGTATGTCATCCAGCTCTTTGTGAGTAACAGCGTGAGCAGCAAATGTCTCAAACCATAACTTCTTCATACCACTATAACCTGATATTTTCCTTTTGCTATAGAAAAGTGTGAAATTCTCTTTTCCCTCAGCTTTCCCATTTCCAGTGATTTCATTGCTTCTTGAAATTCCTCTCTAGGTGGTGACCCTTCAGCCTTTTCCTGCTACCATGTTTACTCATTTTCTAGAGTGCATGGATCTGGAAAAGACAGCAGGATTCAGCACCCTTCCTCCTTTCAACATCATCTCATCACTGCCAGTTCTTAAGAACCCCTTTGAGTTTGTGTTATTTGCCCAGCCATACTGTCATACAGCTTAGCTTTTGCCTGTGTTTAGCGATGTATCCAGGTTTTTTGATTTCTTCACCACTTTACACAATGCTTTTACTTCTTTAACTTCTCCAGAAGACTTGGGTCACTTATTCAGTCTCTGTAACTTCTAGTTTCACTGCTCGTCCAACTTCTTCATGGTTGTTTAGACCTCATAACTTTTTCCACAGTGCTCAGGATCAATGTGCATTGTCCACCCACTCTACAGAGGGATATCTTTGGCATTACTAGTTATTTATCTGGCACATTGTCCACCTTAACTACCTCCTTTGCAGAGCTCTCCTTTTCTTATCCAGGTGCCATCAGGATTGATTTGCACTTAGTTATTTTTTTATCATTTCACCATAACTTTCCCCATAACTAATTCAGTTTAGCTAAGTGCGTATGTCTTCACAAGGGAAATGTATATTGTCAGCAGTCAGATCTGTACCAGCTAACATATCAGCCTTGGGAATTCTTCCAGCTAGTAGATTACAATAATTAACACAGGCTGAAGTAGAAATCACATACTGGAGGCTGCAACTTACATGTATAAAATTCTTGCCCTGCTGCAAAGGCATCAGCTGTGTTTAAAAACTGGCATTGGACTGATTTTAAAAGAGAACATCAGTAGTAATAAAAATATTACATGTTACTGACACAGTGTTCAATTAAGCAGAGCCAGCAATACGTCACATGATCAACTAGTATATTTGTGGAGTTTGGGGAAATATGATTCAGCAAAGACCTGTAGCAATGTTTTGCCTTTTCAAACTCTGTATTTAAACACTCCTTAAGCTCCCAGCTGTTTCCCAACTTTTGTCTGTTCAGTAACAGAAAAAAGAAGTTTTGATATAATGGAAAATGCCATTAACAGGTTAACTTTCAACTTTGCCTTGAACTTCTTAAATGACTGATTAACTTACTTCCTGACAGTTTATAGAAGAAATGAGGGTTGTAAACAGGACTGCTTACTTCTTTCTTATCACTTAAGTATCTGTTTAATTTATTCATCACTCACACACTAACTGCCTAGAAACAATGCAGGGTGAAATGCTTGTAACCATGAATTCCACAAAGTCATGCACTAGAGGAGAATCTGGATAAAGGCCAAGAAACCACTAAGTCCTCCTTAAGCCCTAAAAGTGTAGTCTGCAGTTCAAGTGGTGGCTACAGGCACTTCCCACTAAAGTAAGTGGTTTTCAGTGTCCCAGCAGCATGAAACTCATGAGTAAATGTGTACTGGATGGGACCTCTGTATATATACCATCATCTAAGCATGAGAAGGGGAAATGACTTAGGCATTTGTATTACCATTTATCTAGAAAGACAAATGTGAAGACCCTTCCTAGCATGATACTGGTTTAAAAGAACAAGATCTTACTGAGGAGGCACTGCTGCAGCAGGACTACGTAGTCCTGTCCTGCTGAACCTGGGTAGCTCCTCACAGGCTATGTTGATAAGGCACAGTGCTATGCAGAGCAAAAAAAGAGAGCAGGGAGGGATGAGACAGTGTTTGCATCTAGTCACCTTTGCTTTTGCAGCCCAAATGAGCAGCTCCTCAGTTTTTCCTGGATCAGTGAGAACACTCAGAGAAAGTCCAGAACAAGGCCTGAATTTAGCATCAGATGTAAAACATGGTTTTGAGCTTCTCTGAGCACTCAGCCTAACATCACTGTCACTGGGCTGATCTAAAAAAATAAAAGGTACCTAATGACATCTTTTCTCAATTTCCTCTGTGAACTAACACACAGCCTTTGACAAATGAAGGAAAACAAAACAAACAAAACAAACAAAACAAAACACCAACCAAAAAACCCTTCCATTTTTTATAGCAGAGGTAGAACAAAAAAAATATATTAGCCCTCAGGAATGTGCTTCAAAGATGGACCCATTTCAGTATTCTCCTCTAAACCTTTTCAAATTTTGTGAAAAGGTAAATGAAGGATTACATGAAGTTTGACCCTTGGCATAAGAAAAATATGTTACTGCATTATTTGACAGCAAGGAAAAATTGCTTCCTCTCTGTGTAATATTGTCCTCATCACTAAACCAACCTGCTATATTACAGTGTTCGTCTGTAGCAAAAACAATTTCCATGTCTCCCAAGCTGCTATGTTAATAAGAAGCTTGCTATTTGCCCTTAGTGTGTGGGATGTGAGCCTAATAATTACTCTGAAAAGAAATTCCGTCTTGTAGTGTAATTCTCTGGTCTGTATAATCATAATTCCGGGTCCTACTTCTCAGCACTGGGCCAAAGGCTGTTTGAAGTGGAAGTATCAGGTGATGGTTCAACAGGACAGGCTCAGTAAAACTCCTCTTGCCCTTCATATGGAATCTCAATAATGGTTTTAGCATCCTTGATTACCCCTCCTTGAGCTCTGAAAAGTTTGCAGTAAAACTCTGATGCCAAATGGAGAAGCGACACTAGATACACCCAAAGGGAAAAAAAAATAGACCACTCTCATTGTCAAGTGATGCTGTATGCTCAGTATCCAGGGTGATCTCATGTCACCAAGTGGCATACGGTAACACCAAAGAGAAAAGACACATGGTCCTTCAGAGAGGAGGCCAAAACGACCAGAGAATGAGGAGAAGCATGAATAAAACTGAAAGCTGGCATCTTAAAAGAGTGAAGACCACACATGTCAGCAAAACCCTGTGTAGGTCCCACACCAGTAATGATGATGATTCAGGATCTGGAAGTAGAATAGCTGTTTCAGTGTGGTGCTGTCTGTGCCTACCACTTTAAATATGACAATTTATTTAATCATTTATATTCTTTGAGGATTTTTCATGGCATGAGGTTGCAGGAGCTCAGTCAGTGGTGGGACATGTTTCTGTGCTGTGTTCATCAGAGCCAACATAACATAAGAAGCAGTAAATTTTCTACACTGGCCAAAGAAGAAGTCTCAATGGGGGCTACACAAGGTTCATTCTGCTGACTACTGCAGCTGCATCACTGCTCAGGGACCACTTGCTGTTTCTGTTATTGCTCTAGATTTGCTATTCTACAAATACATCCACAGACGCTGCCTCCAAGATGCTACTGGTTTAGAGCTGCTTGTATGGTGGCTAGTTATGACTGAATTAATTTTACAGCCTTTTTAAAATTTATTTTTCAAGTGTTGTGTGATCCTTCTAAAATGTTATGGTAATCTGTTAAATAGCGCCGTACAGTTTGGACTCTGAACTTATTTTGCTAGATGCAATGGTTGTAAGTTTCCAATTAACTAAAAATTAAGCATTAACTGGCATACCTTAATTGAAAAAATATGAAAACATTTTAATTCATTTTAACAATTAGAAATTAGTAAGTAAGTACTAGTAATTAGGTCCCGTAAAGTTCTTCTACCTTGACTTTCTTTCTAAACATTTGTAATGCCTAGGGCCTTTCTTAAATCACTCAAGCATGACAATTTCTTTCAGCCACATTAACTTTCTGTAGCAAGTGTTACTGAACTTGTTCAAGTATAATTTGCTTATGTTATGCCTTTTTGCTTACTCACATGACTAAAGTACTTTTCTCTCCACACAGTGGCATTACTAAGTCCCTGAGTTACAGAGAAACATGCTAGGAATACAGATTATAGCCTTCATATTTTGTTTCTGTGGGCTGGGAGCTGCTATTGCTGCTACTGCATCAAATGAGTGGAAAGTCACTAGTCGAGCATCATCTGTTATCACTGCAACATGGGTTTTCCAGGGTCTTTGGATGAACTGTGCCGGCAATGCACTGGGTGCTTTTCACTGCAGACCTCACCTTACTATCTTCAAAGTAGAAGGTAAGTAAGTGTAATTTAACTGGAACATATGGGGAGCTGTGTGTATTGCAAGATGTGAGCCTGAGGAGAAAAAGATTATTTTGGCTTGTGCAAGAGCTTATGATTAAAGCATTGTGATGCATAAAAGTAAAGGATATTGTAGGCAGAATATCAAAAACAACTTTGTAGGAATGATATGTATTCCAAGGAAGACAGTAAGCTCTACGGTGTAGTTGGTAATATGCGATAAGTATACCGGACAAAGTTCCAGTAAATACGCTATCAGTAACAAACCACTGTTAGCTGAGTCATGGACTAAACTGTCTTCCAGCTCTAATTTCCATGCAAAAATAAGCGTCCTGCTTGCTGGATGGGGAAAGGAAGAAGGATAGATAGGTCTGTGGCAGCTATTGGTACTCTTCTAGTATCTAAGGAAATTAGGTAGCAAAGTACCACATCCACAAATACTGTGCAAATATTCATATGCTGGGAATTAAGTGCACGTGTATATACTTGCTGTATCACAGGCTAATATTTTAACTTTAAAGATCAAAGGTGTGCTGTTTCAGAATGTCCATTTTAATGGAAAGCATTGGATTTGGAAGCCATCTACCAAGAGGGTAAAAAACAAATGGAGTCTTCCTGCCTTATATCAGGAACAGGTTTTCTCAGAGACAGGGACTAATAGAAAGTTTACTGCACAATGTGTTTTCTGTTTTGCTCCATGTGTAAAGCAGTAAATTTAAAAGTTTGTTTTCTATTTGATGTTAAGTCTTGAGACAGTAGGCAAAATAGTATTTTCAGTGAAACTGTGTGTGCAAGGGCAGAGGGACTGCTCTTTCCTGGATGTGGGCAGCTGTGCTGGGATGAGCAAGATGGAGTCAGGCTAGGGTAGGTAAAGTGGTTCAAAACACGGGTATTTTAGGGAACCAGAAAAGAACTCCAGGACAGACAGGGGCCATCTTCCAAAGCTTTTATGAGACTATAAAGAAACACAATTCTAAGGTATTAACAGCCAGGGGCTGAACGAGATATAAAATGTACTGTTGCATGGTTCTTACCATATTACATAAACAGGGTCTTAGACATACACATACCTTGCACAAACATGGAAACATAGAAACACAAGCATGTTACAGATCCACACTATTTCTTGCCTCTTGTGCCCTTGCCACATCCGACTGTGTGCTGGGAGATACAGATCATGTCTTATATGTAGAGAGGATTTTGAGATAAAATTCAGCATCTTTTTTGTACATATTTTATCATGCCATGCTCCAAACTATCACAAATTGCACGAGGGATGTGAAGACATAGGTATAGCTTTACTTCTTTTAAAGAATGCTCTTCATCAAAAATTACTTAAAAGGCATAGAAACACACATATGCTTTAAAAGGGAATATTATATCTTTGCAAATAACCATTTATGAATTATTTCTGCTGAGATTTAAAGAAACAAAAAAACCCAGCAACTGTTTCTCAGACACATATGATCAAATTTGTTTAAAGCAATGAAAAGTACTTCAGTAACTAGAAACTGCCATTATTGCTATTATTAGTAGTACAAAAGCTGCTTTCAGAATATATCAGCTGTAATCCATTTGCCACTTTGTTATTATTATTTTGATCACTGTCAGACTGAAACTTGAATAAACAAAATACACATCATTATGTGTGCATCCTTTAACTATATACTTAAGCATGTGAGTAAGATTTTGCTTATTTGCTGTTTAGAGTAACATAGACAAGAAAATTACAACATATCAAATTAGAAAGCTCTTGTTAAAGTAAGAGAGTAGCAAAGCTGCTGTACTGACATTTAGAAGTCTAATTTTAACCTGCAAGTGCATGCACCAGCAAAGGGTAATGTTACACGTAGCATAAACACTACTGGGAAAGAGTGAGGTATTTTGTTTGGAAAACCTGCTAAACATAAACTTCTGGTAATCCAAGGAAAACAAGAGAAAGAGCTTTGCACTCTCACTGTGCCCTACATTGTAAAACAATAAAATACTCAGATTAAAGAAGTGATTAACTCCCATCTTTGTCCTTAGAGCTTCAGTATATCATCATTATTGGCATACTGATGACAGGGTGGGCTGCCATTATATATCTTTTTCTCTGCATGTTTATGATTTTATGGAATCTATTTACAATTTGTCCTGTAGCCAAAGATAACTCTGTTACACAAGTACCTCACTTCATTCCTACCTATTCATCTTCAAGTTACACCACAGAAAGTATTACCAGTAAATAGCATAAGTCACGTCTACTCCAAAGGAGATTAATTTGATCATTAAAGTTATGATTGCACTCTTGGGGGATTTTGCAGGAGATGCTTCTACATAAGCTCTACGAAGTTTTAAGGGTTTTTTTCCTATTTAAATTGCAGTAAACAAAAAACAGACTCCAGAGGTCTTTCTTTGAGCAGGATTGCCTTGCAGTCATGGGCAGCATGTAGGCATTTATCAGAACTGACTTTCAGCTAAAGGGCTACTTGTGCTGATAGGAGCACAGCAAAGGCAGTAAGAGCTCAGCTTCTGTGACCCAGTCCACCTACAGATCTTGAGGGATTCATGTTTCTGGAGGTCTGGGTTAGCATAGCCACACTACAAACGGTAGCCAAGCTAGCTGGGCTGTTGCCAAATGTACACGCACATTCACATGTACAGCCAGTGTAATCCGCTGCAGTGACTGAAACATTCAGACAAAAGATCCTGGAGGAGTATGAATAGTAATAGTGTTGTAGCTACAGTCATTTAAGGCAATGTTTGTGGGAAGAAGCAGTATTTTTTATTAAATCAACTGCTTTGGGAGAAGTATGCAACAAAGTAATTCATCAGATCTGAGACAAATACAGTATGCTCAAAGCTAAATATTACCTGGGAACATTGTCTCTTCAGTTAACTTGGTTATGATTATCAGTGCACCAGATATATTCATGGAAATTATATGATCAACACCAAGGGACCATTACATACAGGCATAATCTTACACAGTCAATAAATGCCAGAAATGAAAACTAGAAGAGAGTGGTTTAACAAAACCACTGACCTCTGTCAGTCCTTATCAGTAAGAAAGACCCACAAAGACCCTTCAAAGGGTGAGCCTGGGAACTAAAGCTCCTGACTCCATTGTAGTCAGAACTGTTGTGGACTCCAGAAAGATACTGGAGACAGTTTCCACCCACCCTGTCTCCTGCTAACTCCTCAGTACTCCACAGGCAGTGCTTTCCTCCTCTCTTTCTCATTCCTCTCATGTTTGTCATCCTGAACTCTTACAAACCCAGAATTATCCAGATTTGACAAGAATTAGCTTTTAGTTATCTAGTACTGCTTAGACACTTTATTTAAGTATTTTGCTTTTGGTGATGCTACAGACAGCTGGTTTATTCACATAAAATACAGAAGTTTAACTAGGAAACTGATCTGTGCCCACATCCCTTTCCTATGACACTTCCCTAGTCAGTCAGGGCAGCTACTAAGCTTCTTCAAACAATTAGTTCGGCATTTGGCATGCTTAGCCTACAGCGCTGTTTCATGACTCCTCTGCACGCTATGGTTTTCCATGTCATGCATTCAGGGAGGTGTACCAGAAAGTAGAAGAAATTGCTTCCTTGAACCTTTGCTTGTTTGAGCCTCAGATCTTCTGCTGGCATCTCTGTCTTGCTAGTGCCTGTTTCGATGGAGCCAGGTGGGGGAAGTAGTGCTATCCTGATGGTAGCCAATACGGAAAGGGCAATGCCCAGGAGTCTGGATCACAGCAGCAGGCAGATTCAGAGCTGCCATTTCATGAAGCTGCTGCTGTGATGCAGCTAAAGGGTGGAAGGAAGCTGAAACAATGAAACTACTATTGCAGCACCTCTACCCAGAACAGCCTTGATAGTCAAACACCATTTGAGTTCGTTGGGGTGTGGAGAGCAATTCCAGCCATGATTTGGAGTGACACTGGCAGCTTTCCCAGAGGACTCAACCTAGAGCGGGAAAGGACTGACATGAGAGTTTTCCTCACTAGATAGGAACTTACTGCCAGGAAAAACACACCTTCCATTTGATTGCTGCCAGCCAACAACAAGCCAGCCAGGTATCTGCGTGGCAGCCAAGGCCAGGCTTCACCTCAGCCTTGGAGGAGGGAACTTAGTGCTAAATCCCCCAGCGGTCAACGCCACTGCTCTGTACACATTGCAAGTGGGGATACATGGGGGGCAGGCGGAGTGAGGGCTGGGGTCAGACAATGCACTCCTGCTCCCCTCTGCCTGACAGATCCCCATTGCCTGTTGCCTGCTGCCCGTTGCCTGCTGCCCACTGCCTGCTCACTCTGTCCACTGCTTGCTCCCTGCCCATTACCTGTTGCCCGTTGCCCACTGCCTGCCTGCTCTCTGTCCACTGCTTTCCCCATGCCTGCGCCCTGCTGGCTGCCCGCTCCCTGCCCGCTCCCTGCCCACTCCCTGCCCGCTCCTTGCCCACTCCCTGCCCCTGTCT